CTTCCTGCCTCAGCCTCCCAGAGTGCTGGGATTACAGATGTGCACAGCCACACCCGGCTCTAGGAGACTGGCTTTTTTAGGAGCAGCTGAAGATTTGGGTTTTGTGGTAGGTTCAAAGCAGGGCACCTGTCTCAGCGCTGATTTCTCTTTCCACTTAGTGTCTGTGGGAAAGCTGCAGCCAGCCTCCCTTTTAGCTCCCTGTGTCCACGGAATTACGAGCTGGCCGTGGTACTGCATGAGACTCAGTAAGGCTGCCAGAAGGCTCAGCAACTTCCTTCTCACCACAGCCACTAAGGACCCTGGGGTAACGGGGAAGGCATCCCCAGGAGGATGAGGATGAGAAGACAGGAGCTTAGCTCTCTGAGGATATCACTGGCCTCAGCCTTGACTGCCCCTTTTGGAACTTGTCTTGCTGAAGTGAGAAATCAGCTTCTCTCCTGTACAGTACAAGAGCAGGATATACCAACAAAATTTTTAAAGATTATTTTATGTATTGTTTTGTGGTCCTGGGGACTGAACACAGGACCTTTGCACTGAGCCACCTCAGCCCTCTTTTTATATTTCTATTTTGAGACAGTCTCACTAAGGTGCTCTGGCTGGGCTAAAACATACCATTCTCCTGCCCCACCCTCCCAGAATGCTGGAATTACAGGCATGCGCCCACCACCAAAAATTTTTAAAAAGGAATAGAGAATAAGAAGCAGCTCTTGAGAAACTAAAATAAATTTTCAGTTGATGACTGGAAAACAAAATAAAGGAAATCCCTAGAAATTAAAAAATACACAGAAGAAAAGAAAATCTCAAAAAGTAGAAAGAAAACACAGGCAGAAGATCAATTTGTATGATCCAACATTTGACTAAGAAAATGTTGGGAACAGAATTATTAAATGAAGACAATTAAATTTCCCAGAATTTAGACAGGCCTAGTGGTGCATAAATGTAAAGCCAGCATGTAGGAAGCTGAGACAAGAGGGTCACCATGAGTTCAAAGGCAGGCTGGGCTACAATAGTGAGTTCAAGACCAATCTGAAATTTTACAAAATGGACCCTGTCTCAAAAAACAAAAGCCATGCCTGGTGGTACACATGCGTGACCTCAGGACTTGGGAGGCTGAGGTAAGATCATTGCAAATTCAAGACCAGCCTGGGCTACATAGTGAGTTCAGCGTTCAAGGCTAACCTGAGCTACACAACGATACCTTGTCTCAAAAAATCAAAACCAAAATATTTCAGAAGTAAAAGCCACAAGCTTCCAGATTTGCTGGTCCACTGAGCGGCCAGAAAAAAAAAAAAAAATTCAAGTATGCAAATTTTTCTGAAATTTGAGAACACTAGAGGTAAACAGACAGCATTGAAGTCTTTCAGAGAGGGAGGGGGTAGTTTGCATAAAAAGTTTAGACTTCCTTCCTGGATCTAGAACATAGAATAACTACTTAAGTTTTTTGTTTGATTGGGTTTTTTTGGTTTTTGTGAGGCAGGATCTTTTTTTTTTTTTTTTTTTTTTTTTGGTTTTTCTCTGGTACCAGGAACCGAACTCACGACCTTGCGCTTGCCAGGCAGGTGCTTTGCCGCTGAGCTAAATCCCCAGCCCCATGTGAGGCAGGATCTTGCTAGTGGCCCTCTCCTGAGGCTTGAACTCAGGACCTTCAGATTATGAGACTGACTACTCCCTACTATACTAAGGAAGCAAATGGAATCTGCAAGTACGAATCTTTTAACATAGACTTCTTTATTGGTTCACTTAAGTGAATCTGAGGGATTAGATGCATGAGTTTCCCAAAATATTTACTTCAAATATTGATTTCTTTAAAAGCTACGCTAGCAGGGTGTAGTGGTGCACGACTGTAATCTCAGCATTCTGGAGGCTGAGGCAGGAGGATTGCAGCAAGTTGGAGGCTAGCCTGGGCTACTGTGAGAGACCCTGTATCTAAAAAAATAAAATAAAAATAAAAATAAAATAAAAGCTACTCCAAAATGTGATCCTTGGAAGCAGATCTTTTGCAAGTGGGAAGGGAATCAAGGAAGGAAAGGCGGGAAGAGGGAAGGAGTAGAAAGACTGAGGCTGCCTTCTGTCCACCCCGCCACCGCTGTGCTGTGTAACCGCCACACACTGCAAATGCAGACTAGAAAAAATTTAAAACTTCAATATAAACAAGTAAATATTTGCAAAAAGAAAGGAGGAAAGAAAGAAAGAACAACTCAGCTGGGTATGGTGGCAATTGCCTATGAACCTAGCACTCTGAGAGAGTGAGGTAGGAAGACCACACATTCAAGCCCAGCCTGAGAAACTTAGTGATTTAATGAGACTTTGTCTCAAAATAAAAATGAAAAGCTTTTTAAAAGATCTGGGGATGTAGCTCAGTGCAAAAGTCACCTCAACTCAACACCTAGCACTGAAAAGAGTAAAGAGAGGGAGAGGGAGATAGAGGGAGGAAGAAGGGAGGGAAAAACCAGAGAGGGAAAGAAAGCTGAGCGTGAAGGAGCACACCTGCAATCCCAGCGCTCAGGAGGCTGAGGCAGGAGGATCACTGTAAGTTCAAGGACTGCCTGGGCTACATAGTGAATTAAAGGCCAGCCTGAACTATGTAGTGAGACCTTGTCTCAATAAATAAATAAAATAAAAATTTAAAACATCTAAAAAAACAAGTAAAGCAAATGTATATATTACTTTTGTAGGTAATATAATAAGGTGAAATGCCCGGCTTAGACAAGGCCCTAGGCACATTCTCCTGATACTACAATTTTTAAAAAAGAGAAAAGGTTGGATTCACCTCATCGGAAACCCAGATTTCTGTGCATGTCAGCACCTCTGTCCGCTAACCACACAGCACCTCACCTTTGCTGAAGTGGAAGTGGATTTCTTCTCCCGCCCTGGGTTTCCTCAGGGACATCGGAGTCTCTGTCTCCGACAAGGGCAGGTCATGGAATTTATACTCCACGTACACCTGCTGCACGCTGTCATCCGCCAGGACTGCAGCCTCTGGGCAGAAGGCCAGGGAGACGATTTCAATGCGCATTTTCTCCGAATCCTGATGGGGAAAACAGTTATGGCCTAAAGGTGAGTGAGGCCTCGAGCAATTCTGCTCCAGCAGTGAACTCATTGCTCTAGAACCCAATCAAAGCTGCGCTCCCCAAGGACCAGCTCAGAGGTGGACGGGCAACGGGCGCCTGAGTCACCACAGCTCCTCTTCGCAAGTTTGTAAAGGGAGCCCAGACTCTGTCTCCTGGCAGGTCATTCCCGCAGACCAGCCTCTCCTGGCATCTCTGCAGAGAAAGGGAGCAGAGTTCTGAGCAGAGCTTCCCCAGGCCTTTTCCTGAGGGCGGGGCCTGGGTGAGCAGCCCAAGGGCCCTGGAATCGGCACCAACGAGCTGTCCGCCGCCCGACGCTGCCGGCCTTGTGCCACCTTCTCCTTCCTCCCCCCACTGCCATCCCCCTGCATCTTCTCCTGTTGGAGGCCGCGTCTCACCACATAGCCCAGCCATGTCCACCTGCGTGCAGGCACGCACCACACCCAATCGTCCCCCTGCCCACACAGCATGAGGGCCACCAACAGGAGGGGCGACGTGTCTCGTTTCCAAAAGTAGAGGCCAACATGAGTCCCTGCTGCCGCGCGGAGGCAGCAAGTCGGTGTCCACCCAGAAGGTACGCTAGCGGCCCCAGGGCCCTCCTGCCTGCATCTGTCCCCTGGGTCCCCCACGCGGCACCTCACTTCGCTACAGCCCTGTGGACACCATGTTCTCTCTCAAGAAGCAAGCAGAGTGCCTGTGTCTTCTAGCAAATCCAGCAGGCAAGATCCTCCAGTGCTCTGCATCACGTTATTGGGATACTCAGTGTTTCTGCTCCATAATCCCCACTTAAGCAAACCCTTGACACTGTGCCTTCTAAAGTATGACTTTGGGCCGAGGATATAGCTCAGCAGCATAGCACCTGCCTGGCAAGCACAAGGTCATGAGTTCAATACCCGGTACCCCCCCAAAAAACCAAAAATAAAGTGTGACTTTTGGCACTGGAGTGAACTAGCTCAGTGGGTTTCACTAGCTTTTTTTTTGAGGCAGGGTCTCACGATATAGTTCAGGCTGCCCTTGAATGCTCTGTGTAGTTTAGGCTGGCCTCAAGCTTGCAGCAGTCCTCCTGCCTCAGCCTCCCAAGTGCTGGGATTACAGGTGTGTGCCACCACTCCTGGCAATTTTATTTTATTTTATTTTATTTTTATTTTAAAAAGAAAAGGAGGAAAACATTAACAGACAGAAAACCTTTTACAAAATAGCAAAAGAACACTACAGACAATACAGAGTTACAAACTCCTGGCAATTTTAAAATGAAAGAATAGTGTGCAAACGTGAAGGGGACAGAGAGATGGCAGGAGGAAGAGGAAGGGAGGGGAAGAGGAAAGACCTGTTACGTGTATGTCCTACTCTCCACAATGAGTGTAGCCGTCATGTACTGCAAACACGTGCTAACACAAATATTTTTTTCTTTTAGAGAGAAAAAAACTAAAAATTTCAAAACAAGATAATAGGAGAGCAACAATGGTTAATGCATTGTTATCTTCAAATTAGTTACTCAGAGTACAAGATACAGGCATTTCACTGTCCTAACTATAACAAAAATATTTTTAAATTAAGAATAAAATGGCGCCAGGCGTGGTGGCGCATGCCTGTAATCCCAGCACTCGGGAGGCTGAGGCAGAAGGATCATTATGAGTTCGAGACCAGCCTGGGCTACAAAGTAAGCTCAAAGTCAGCCTGAGCTGCAAAGCGAGACCTTGTCTCAAAAGCGCCTGCCTGGCAAGCGCAAGGTCGTGAGTTTGAAAAAAAAAAAAAAAAAAAAAAAAAAAAAAAAAAAAAGGAATAAAATGGATAGGATAGGACAGGACGGGACAGGATGGGGCAGGACAGGACAGGACAGGATGGAGTAGAATAAATAATACAACAGAACAGAAGGAGGACAAAGGACTCTAAGACTTACACGTTGCCTCTCAGCATCACACCTGTCATCATCGAGGAGACCCCTTACCTTTGGCACGGCGGTCTTCCCTTTGCCGTCACTGCCTGTCCCCCAACCCTGCCCCTCCCGCCCTGCTCCCCGCTGCCCGCCACTCCGTGCTCACCGCAGCAGCCTTCTCCTGCTCTGCTGGGCCTCAGCGGCCGGCTGCCCTGAGCCTGGCTTTGGCCTCGTCCCGTCTCTGGGCCCCCCTGAGCGAGCTTACCCACAGCAGCTTCCAGCCAGCACTACACTGGTGCCCCGCAAGCCTCTGTCTACCTCAGACACATCCTCTGAGCGCCAGACCTCCAGCCTCCAGGTCCGCCAAGGCACCCCCATTGATCTGTCACGACTGCACTGCCCCGCTTGTCACTGACATCACCACCCGCCCAGGCCCGCGGGCTGGGAACCGGCTGTGGGCGCAGACTCCCCCACCTTCCTCGCCTCGTCCCACTCTGCCCCTGCGCGAGACTCATTCCTGCCCGGTCACCCGGCTCACAGGCAGCCACTGAGTGCCGGCTCAGCACGCGGAAGCCAGGCACAGTTCCTGTCCCTGGAGGCAGGACAGTAAACTACCAAAGCCCACGTGCCTCTTGGAGCTTTTATTTTAGAGGCAGGGAAGATGGAAAAACAATGAGGGAAGCGCTGGGGGTGTAGCTCAGCACTTGCACAGCGCGCACGACTCCCTGGTTCAATCCCCAGCGCCACAGACAGACAGACAGACAAACGCAGAAGTGCACATCAGGGGGCAATGTGCTGAGGAGAGCAAGTTCATAGAGTGCAAAGAGTGAGGGTGCTGGGGGAGTGGCTCCTTCGTACAGGGCAGAGGGACGGCCTCTGGGATGAAGGGGCGACCAAGCAAAGACGCTCAGAAAGCCAGAGCGCAGCAGCAGAGGACAGAGGTGCCGGGCGCCCGGGAGAGGCCCCGCCTGCGGTCACAGCAAGGCCTGGAGCCACAGTGCTGGGGGCGGGAGCCACAGAGGAGGTGTGGGTGCATCAGGGCCGTGCCGGACACAGCGGGGAACGGCGGAGGGCTCCGAGCAGAGGCGTGACAAGGTCTCACTGAGGTTTCCAAATGACCCCTCAGAGTGTGGAGGGGAAGCCGGTCAGGGGAACACCGCAGTCACCACGTAAGGGCGGACGGGGGCTGGCGCTCGGGCAGAGGTGAACGTGGGGGCAGTGAGACGCGCACCTGCACTGGCCACTCCCCCACCCACCCGACCTGGGCAACACCCAGGACCTCGGGACCGGCCCCAGCCTTGTCCAGGAGGCGGAGATAAGAAAAGCAAAGCGCCCTGAGCCTGGCCTGGAGAATTCTGAAACCCCAAACCAGGACGGATGTGTGCTGGATTCTCCCGCCTGACCTTCAGTAACCTTTCTTCACCTGGAGCTCACTGAAGCTCCAGTTCTAACAGAGTGAATTGTGGGAAAGGACATGCGCATACACACAACTGACAGGACTCAGCACCCTGTCAATCACACACTGGAAGCCCCAGTGGGAGGTGTCCTAGACTTGTCTCAACGTTTTTTGGCCGGTGGTCTCACTATGCAGCCCAGGCTGCCTTGATCTCAAGACAATTCTCCTGCCTTAGCTCCTGAGTGCTGGGGTTACAGGTGTGCACGCCACACCCCTGCTACCTAGAGCAACATTGTAAATCCATAAATCCAATGCCTTCAGCACTCCTGCTTTCTTCCTTTCTGTTGGCCCAAGCCTGCTCGCTCTGAGCATACCAACCCTGAATTAAATCTTGCTGCTGTTTCCTTACCATCATGTGCCATGTCTAGCTCTTTGTTTGCCGTGCACAAGAACCTAAGCATCTGTCCAGGACCCCATAACCCACATTAACAGATTCAGTAGAAAGCAGAAGCTACTTCTCTCTTTTCTTTTTTGGACTGAGGATTGAACCCAGGGGCTTCACACTGAGCTACCCCCCATCTCTTCTTTATTTTTTTATTTTGAGACAGGGTCTTACTGTATTGCTGGGCATGGTGAGGTGTGGTGGTGCACACCTATAAATCTCAGCACTCAGGAGGCTGAGGCACGAGGATTGCTGAGAGTTAGAGGCCAGCCTGGGCTACATAGTGAGTTCAAGTTCAGCCTGAACTGCATAGTGAGACCCTGTCTCAAAACAAAAGTTGCCCAAGCTGGGCTCAAACTTTCCGGGCTCCTGCCTTAGCCTCCCAAAGTGCTGAGATTACAGCATGCCCGACATAAGGGTACCTAAGTATCACTCAAACTCTCCAGCCTCTGGGTGCCCTGTCTGTCACTTTAGTTCATCCCTTGCCAGGCTCACCACTGCTTGCGGAGCAGGTTAGGACTCCTGTGAGTAGGCCGACTTTTCGCTCCCCAGCCCGGCCTGGACCCGCTGCGCACGTCAGTCTGTCCGCTCTGACATCGCTCCACCCTCTTCCCGTTCTCTCTGCACATCTGGGGCTGACTCCTGCACGTTCCATTTCCCAGGCTTCTGGACCAGAAGATTAGGCTGATGAGGGTCAATCTCGGGGGCAGGAGGAAGGGAAAAGTTGGGGAATTTCTCCCCCACCTCAGGCAATGGCCACATCTTCTAACCACATGGGTAGCCCTGGACAGCTCCCAGGTCTCGGGGACATTACCCCTCCTAGCTCAGTACCCCAGACCTGTGTTGCGCGACTTTCTTTGTCTTTATGCCTTGAAAGCTGCCGCTCGCACACACTTCTCTGTTGAAATACCTGGGCGGGCTGTTGTCCTGGCTGCACCCCGCTGGCCCCGCTTCACCGCCTGTGAAGTAAATGTGATCTATTTGCTACTTAGCCAGCTTAGCCCAGGCTCCAGGGAGCCAGCGCCTGTGGGTGCTGCGTAAGCATCTCCTTCTGCTCTTCTCTTCCTGCTCACCTCAGCGGCTCCTAGTTACCTCTCAGGTATCTGCTGCAGGGTCAACCACGTCTCGCAGAGGTTTCCACACCCCGTCCCCAAGCCGAGGGAAGCACGCTACCTTCCACTGCGCCTGGACAGACCACATCCCAGCAACTGTGCTGCTCTAACTGAGTGTTCTGTTTCCTGGTCACGGACAGATAAACTCTGGACCCCTCAAATCTCTAAGCGGCAGGACTGTGTCTCATTAGAATCTGGACTCATGTATCCCACGTGTGGCACAAGGTCTGACACGCAGGTTGCACCCAACACGAAGGTATTAAGTGCTCCCCGGACAGTGCTGGCCTAGCATGCTCACAGCTGTGTGTGACCCCCAGCAAGGCAAACACAAATGCCATCTGAGCAGGCCTCTTCTCCCACCCGGCCCAGCTGTCCCATGTGGAGGAGTGTGATACTTGTGTGGCCAAAAGGACTTCAGTCCCTCTTGACCCCCCACACCTCAGATAAACCAGACCTTCCCTACCAGAGTCCGCCTCCTACTCGGCAGACAGGCAGCCCTCCCGTCCCTCAGATGGCTCCCCTCAGAGACGCCCTCCCTTCCACCTTCCCGAATGTAGCCCTGCCGCCGCTGTCCATGACATCACCTAGTTCTTCCCTTCACAGTTCTTTGGTCTCAGCCATCTGCCTGTCTGCTAACTGAGTCCAATCCATTTTCCCCGAGTGGAGTGTAAGATTCCAGAAGGGAAAGACCAAGCCCGACTGTGTCCATGGAGCCCGGCAGACAGGGACAGGTGGGCCCTGAGCACGCCCTGAAGGGAGGCCAGCCTACTAGGCCACCGCAAACATTACATGAGCTGTGAGTAGCAAGCTCCTGCAATACAGCACCAAACTCGGTCAACACTGGCCGTTAGCGTTCTGCCTAAGTTCAAGGAAAGAACTAGAAGAAGCTAAATATACTGATATGAACAGACCCCAAACATTACTTTTAGTATACGTGCTGCCGCAGCGAGCACGAAACATTACTTTTAAAAATGCACATTTCAGCCCGAGGGTGGCAACACACACCTGTAGTCCCAGTACTCTGCAGGCTGAGGCAGGAAGATTGCCTCCAGTTGCAGGCCAGCCTGGGCTACATCGTGAGTTTAAGGACAGTCTGACTTACAAAGCAAAACCTGCCTCAAAAACAAAACAAAAAAAATTAGTAGTAATTATTAATTAATTAATTTTTAAGAGATCAAGGACTGTGCTTCTCCACGGCCTTTCATCCATTGCTTATGTGGGGTTGAAGGTACTATTTAAAAATGGATGCATGGGAGGCTGAGGCAGGAGGATTACCATGAGATGGAGGCCACCCTGGCTACTTAGTGAGCTCAAGACCAGCCTGAACTAGAGAGGGAGACCCTGTCTCAAAAGAAAAAAGAAGTTTTTTCTAAAAGGAAATCTTATGTAGGAGCCTTTAATTCAGGGTGAAGCTTTTATCGTAAACTGGCTGACGTGTAGTGGTTCAAAAATTTGCTGATCAGCTGGCTGCTTTTGAGGTGGAATGTGAGACTTGGTGCCGTGAGAGACCTTGGTGGGAGCACAACTCCCTCCCGGCTCTGCCAGCCTCCACGCACTCTTTAGCTCTTTATCAGCTTCCCCTGTGTGACAGCTAAAGTGCTGTCCAATTCTTTTTTTTTTCTTTTTTTTTTTTTCGGTTTTTGGTTTTTGGTTTTTCTCCGGTACTGGGAACCGAACTCACGACCTTGCGCTTGCCAGGCAGGCGCTTTGCCGCTGAGCTAAATCCCCAGCCCCTGTCCAATTCTTTTCATTGCTGTCTTTTTGGTTTTTTGAGACAGGGTCTTGCTGTGCAGCCCAGGCTGAAAAATTAAAAATTCAGCTTTTATCAGACTCGCAGTCTCCTGAGTGCTGGGGCTACAGGTGTGTGCTCCCGTCCCGCGCGCAGGGGGGGGGGGGTCCTGACCTCCTGCGGCTCTCATCTGTCTTGTGGGTATTTCCCAAAGTATCAACAATGTAATGTCTTAAAAAGTTACATCAGGTAAATGTTCAGAAGGCAAAAATGCGTGCCTGGTTGTCTAAATCTCTAACTCTACTGGCTTGGAGATGGTTCTCTCCACTCCAGTACCCTTCATTTTCCTGAGATTCCTCAGCACACATTCTGACTTCCAAAGTAATCAATTAGGCAGGGTCTCACTATGTAGTTCAGGCTGCATTGAACTCACTATGTAGCCCAGGCTGGCCTTGAACTCCTAGCAATCCTACCTCAGCCTCCCAAGTGCTGGGATTACAGGAATGCAGCACCATGCCCACCTTTGCCCCAAATCAGATTTACACCAAACCAAGAAAATGATTTCATCAGACTGTAACAGCAGACTTCCACTCGTGTAAATAACTGGAACACTTGCATTTCCTATGAAGTTCATTAAAATTGAGGACATGCATTATTTGTATTTTTTTTCCTTTTTGCAGTGCTGGGGATTAAACTGAAGGGTGCTCTACTGCTGAGCTATCTATCTATGTATCTCTGTATCTATATATCTATCATCTATTTATTTTTCAAACAGGGTCTTGCTAAGTTGCCTCATGGCCTCAACTTTCAATCCGCTTGCCTCATCCTCCTGAGTAGCTGAAATTACAGGTGTGCACCACTGCAGCAGTTAGGGTATCGTTACCTACAGTCCCGTCTCAGTGCAGTGATTCTCCTGCGTACTCACCACCGCGGGGCGCTTCTGAGGTAGGGCTGCCACTACAACCTCATCGCTGTCGGTGGTCTGCACTTCACTGGCTTCAGAAGCTTGTTCAGAGGATTCCTGATCTGCTGGAGAAGAGCTAAAGTCACAGAACTGCTCCACAGTACTCTGCACAGCACCGAGAAAGTGCCTGCGCGTGCATCTCCAACACGCTTCTGCTCACCGGATTTTCCTTACTTGCTGTGAGCTGAGCTGCCTCGCCCTGCCCTTTTTTGTGATAACGGAGGCTGAACCCAGGGCCTTTGCGGTACATCATTAGCCCTTTTAAATTTTTAGTTTTCAGACAGGATCTTGATAAATTGCCTGGGCTGGGCTCAAACTTTTGATCCTTCTGCCTCAGCTACCAAGTGCTAGGATCACAGTTGTGCGCCACCATACCTGGGTACTCCTCCTCCTCCTTCTTTCTGTTTCATTTCATTTCCTTCCTCCATCCTTCCTTTCCTCTCTTTTCTTCTTCTTTCTTTTTTCTTTTTTTTTCTTTCTCTTTTTTTTTTTGGTCTTTTTGAGACAGGGTCTCCTATGTAGTTCAGGCTGGCCTTGAGCTCACTTTGTAGCCCAGGCTGGTCTCAAGCTCAGAATGATCCTCCTGCCTCAGCCTCCTGAGTGCTGGGATTACACGTGTGCATCGCCACACCCAGCATCTAGCTTTCTTTCTTTCTTTCTTTCTTTCTTTCTTTCTTTCTTTCTTCCTCTCTTTCTTTCTTTTCAGGATAGGGCTGGCCTTGAACCTGCAACAATCCTTCTGCCTCAGCTTCCTGAATATTGGGATTACAAGTATGTGTCACCATCCCTAGTTTCAGCTCTTATGTATTTATGTATGTATGTATTTATTTACTTTTGGTACTAGGAATCAAACTCAGGACCTTG